TCCAAAACCAGCTATAAAAGCTTCACTCCACCATAAAAACTCACAATGGTACATCTGCTAAAACTGCCACAGGAAAACCAAGCGTACCTTTCAGTCATTCTTGCCAGAATAAGCAGTGGCAGAGTAGCCACTGCCCCAGTTCCATGTCCCAAATGTTAGGGCCTGATTTAAATCTCAGCTAGGACATTGGCTGCAAGGGAATTCGGAGTAAGGTAGTTTTTAGCTTTCCAGGCTCTGTAGTTCAGGGTGACGCTCGCCCAGAAGGGAAGATCGGATAAAGTGCACTGACACACCACATACACCACGGTCCTTGTCTTACTGAGAGTCTTTACTACTTTTGACACTGTTGACTACTCCCTCCTTCATGGAATTCTTTCCTCGTGATTTCCATGGTAACACCTCTCCTGGTTCTCTTCTGGACCAGCTACTTTTTCTCTGACTTCCTCCTGGGTTTAACTTTTTTCGCCTGCGTTGTAAATGATAGTGTTCCTGAGAATATTATTGGTGTTCTCCTATCTGGTCATTGCATCTCTTTTCTTCTCTTTTGTCTCTGTAGACTGTTCCTGGACATTTTTCCCCAAGCTTTCAGGTGCATCTATATACTGAATATTTCCCAATTCTACATCTTAGTCCAGACTTTTCTGCTGAGTTGTAAATGTTTATACTCAATTATCTATCAATCTCCATCAAATGTCCCGACTCAAGCTCAATGTGGCTAAGTATTCCCTTCTCCCACCCCTACTCCTAAACCTGTTCTTCCTTTATTCCCTTGTCTGTGACTATTACCAAATTCACCTAGTTGCTAAGCTCAGAAACTTGGGCATTATTCTAAACACATCCTTCCCTTTAATCCACAGTCCATCCTATTGATCCTACCTCCTTAACGTCCCTATGACACTCTCTTGTCTTCATCCTTTGAAAACCCCCTAGTTTAGGCCCTTACCATCTCGGGTTGAGACCTTCACTAGAACTTCCACACGGTGGTAATAATAATCTTAATAACTATAAAACTCCTAGAAGATAACATGTGAGAAAATATAGATGACCCAGGGCTTGGTAATGACTTTTTAGAGATAATACCAAAGGCATGATCCATGAAAGAAAGAATTAATAAGCTTTACTTCACTAAAATAAAAAAAATTCTGCTCTACAAAAGACACTGTCCAGAGAGTGAGGAAACATCCTGCAGGCTGGGAGAAAAAGTTTGCAAAAGATACGTCTGATAAAGGACCGTTATCCAAAATATACAAAGAACTCTTAAAATTCAACAATAAGAATATAAACAACCCAATTTAAAAAATGGCCAAAGACCTTAATAAATACCTCACCAAAGAAAATATACATGTGAAAAGATTCTCCACATCATATGTTACCAGGGGAAAAAGCAAATTAATGCAACAATGAGTTACCACTACACACCTATTAGAATGGCCAAAATTGGGAACACTGACACCACCAAATGCTCAACAGGATGTGGAGCAAGAGGAACTCTCTGATTCATTGCTGGCGAGAATTCAAAATAAGACAGCCACTTTGGAAAACAGTTTGGCAGTGTCTTACAAAATTAAACATAGCCTTACCGTATGATCCAGCAATCACTTTCCTTGGTTATTTACCCAACGGAGCTGAAAACTTCCACACTAGCAATGACCTCATTGTACTGTAATTGTCTGATGTTTACAACAGCTTTTTTTTTAAAATAGTTGCAACAACTTGGAGGCAACTAAGATGTCCTTTAGTAGGTGAATGAGTAAATAAACTGTGGTACCTCCAGATACTGGAATATTATTCAGCTATAGAAAAAAATATGAGCTACCAAGCCATGAAAAAGCATGATGGAAACTTAAATGCATATTACTAAGTGAAAAGAGCAAATCTGAAAAGGCTATGTATTATATGATTTCAACTATATGACATTCTAGAAGTGATGATAAAGATAATAAAAAGATCAGTAGATACCAGGCGGTTGGAGGGATGGAGGGATGAATAGACAGAGCACAGAGGTTTCTGGGCAGTGAAAATACTCTATAAGATACTAAAATGATGAATATGTCTCCTTATACATTTGTCCAAACCCCTTAAAAATGCACAACTCCAAAAGAGAGCCCTAATATCAGCTGTGGACTGTGGGTGATCATGATGTATCAGTGTAGGTTCATCAGTTGTAACAATTGTACCACGCTGGTGCAGGATGTTGATAATTGGGGAGGCTATACCTGTGTTGGGGTGGGAATGTACAAGAAATCTATGTACCTCCCTCTTAATTTTGTTGTGAACAAAAAAAAATAGTCTATTAAAAAATTTCAGTGGTGGTAGTAATATTCATAGCCATAATAGTAGCACCCATAGTGCTGTTACTAGTTAAGAATATGCTTTTCTTCATACTCTCTGTTTCTGTCTTACCAAAATCTTGACATTCCCTGAAAATACAGTGCTTTTTTTATGCCCCCATGTTGTTTTACTTTTGTTCTCTCTACTTAGAATGCCTTCTCCTGCTACTCCTCCACCCTTATCCCCCAGAAAAACTCCTCCTCATTCATATTCAGATTTTAGATGAAGCTTCAACACCTATATGAAGCTGTCTTCGCCTCCCCCAGGTGGACTGTGCTGTCTGTTCCTGCAGACTCCCACTGCCTCCTTCCTCACACTTCCACACTAGCAGTGATCCCATTGGACCGTAATTGTTTGCAGGCCTGTCTCCTCCCGAAGAAGGGCTGGATTTCTTCATTGTTTTGAATACAGTGCCTAACAGGGCCTGAGGATACCATAGGTGCTCAGTAATCACTAACTGAGTGACCGTATTAGTGATGTTGCCACACTAACAGAGAAGCACACATATATATGTACGGCTGGTGAAGAACAGAGTCATGTAAGCATGCTGCCCATCTCTGAAGCCTGGCCCAAGTTCTCGTACTTTCATGAGTTTTTCCTAACACCCCCCAGGCAGTATCTGTGTCATTGCTGGTCACAGTCAAGTGCTGAACGGCACTTGATCATACAGCATCCTGTGTCATTCTTTCATTTCCAATACTTGTTTTTCCAACAAGACAGAAAGTTCCTTAAGGATAAAGATCATCTTACCTTTCATAGCATCTAGGATGCTGGTAGGTAACCCACCAGAACAGCAACAGGCATGCGCAGTGCTCTCCTCAAGGCACCAGCATGTTGGCTGCCTCCAGCACGAGGCTGGGCCAGTTCTGGATAACAGTGCTGACGCCGTCATCTTGGAGCTTTATGGCTACAAGAAAAAGATGAGTTATCAACATCTGGAGCCATGCTAGGGGTACATAAACACAATGTTTTTTCAAACAACCACAATTAATAATTGGCAACATAGTTCTGGTATTCACAGGAATTCTTCCTCCATAAAAAACAGTTTAAAACCAAAACAAACCTTATATAGGAGTGGCTGAGGACATTCCTTCTGTCCTTCACTGCTTCTTTGTCTTTGGTAGAAAGATCAGTGGTTTAAATCAAGGCTTTTGTCTTAATGCTAAGAATTCTCAATCTCCCTGTCTAAAGTTGCTTTAAAGTTTGCATGTGCAGTCTTCGTCCTGACCTAGGCAGTTCACTGGACTGTTGCCCTCTCAGATAACTCCAGCTACTCCTCTACTTCTGTTCCATGTATTGATGAATGTAAAGAGGTTTTATAGGACACACTTGAAAGACCCTCCTACAATCATTAAACTCCAAGAATAGTCTTTCTTATTCTAAATGCATGTGTATATTTGCTTTGCAACATCTCTCCCCACACCTTCAACCCACACACACACCCGCTGCACAAGCTGGAATGGTGGTTTTATAGAGAGCTGGGACTTTCTGTAAGAAGAAACTGACTCCCAAGTTGTTTAGTACTACCTAGAAAACATTTTTCCTACTGACCGTGACACCGCTACTTTCTGTGTTTACTAGCAATCTCTCCTCCTCTCTACCCAACCATGATAGTCCAAGTTTTCTCTTTGCCCCTCCCATGCCCATTGTGGGAGGGCTACCCCAGCACAAAAGCAAGCACATGAGTCATCCATAATACCACGTGCGTTGATGCGCACAGGTAAGGAATCAAACAAGTACTCTCAAATACCTGTTATGTGTTCATACTGCTTTAGTGGGTATGATACATACAGAGGGATGAGGTATAAACTCTTTTCATTCAAGAAACAAACACACTTCATGGAGAACCTACTGGGCCAGTCTCCCCTTCAGGATCTCGGAGGCTGATGGAAAAGGTTCTGGGAGGTGAACACAGGAAGTACATAGGAAGGGATAAAAACAAAGACCAACACTAGATAGAAAACAGTTCATCACTCCTATGCGGTCCTTCATAAGGGAGAGAAAGAGCTAAGTGAGGTTCGGGGTGGTCAGGGAGGCTTCCTGGGCACTCTAGAGTGGACAGTGGGTGGTCACCAACCCTTGTTAGTAAAAAAAGATTTCACGGAAAAGGTGATTTTAAAAATACGGTCCTTCTCCCAGCTGAAAGAAGCCTATGATGGCACGATGACTGAATGTAACATGGTGTACTGGATGGGATCCTGGGAATAGAAAAGACATGAGGTAAAAATGTGAATAAACTGTAAACTCTAGTTAACAATAATGTATCGATAGTGTAAGATAGTAATAACAGGGAAATTGGGTATGGGATAAATGAGAACACTTTATATTATCTAGTCAATTTTTCTGCAAATTCACAACTTTTCTAAAAACTAAAGTCTATTTGCAAAGAAAAAGAAGGTTTACAGCCTACAGAATGCCCCTGGCATGGGGACGTGAAAGAGTCAGTTTGACAACGACCCGTATTTGAAAGAAGTGACTGTGTCGTTAAATGCCGTGTTTGCGGCTTGGTCCTCGGTTCCCGTGGCGAGGCGGGGTACTTGCTTGCTTTCCCATGGTTGATTTTTGGCAGGCAGCAGCAGCGTTTGTGCACTGATTATAATTTTGAGCTGCATTGTCAGTACCCAGCGTGTATAATGGATCTTCATCTCTAATTACTTTTCTCTCCGCAGGTGTCTGGAAAGGGCCCTGATGGGAACGCGCACAACCTCCGCCCCGAGGGAATGGAGAGACAGTACGCGTCCTTACCCAGGTAGGTCAGCGAGGGGTCTCCCATTTCCAGCTCCCCCACAAATGAAGTCTTTAGAGAAGTCTACATGAAATAGAAATCTGGCTTTGAAATAGGGAATATGTTATGATTTTGCCTTACTGCCGTCTGCTACAGCCCTCGTGCCATCTTCACAACTGTGCTAATAATTGAAACACTTGTGGGTTATTTTTTAAGGGGAGAAAATAGTATATCATTGCAATTGAACATGTCAGCTAGAATATTGGATACTAAATGGAAATCCTAAGCCATTGCTATAAAAATGGTATTGAACATCCTGCACCAAGCTTAGAGACAATAAAATAGTAAATCCTCTGTCCTAGAAGTCACCCGTGAGGAAGGGCGAGCCAGCCTTAAGTTTGGAGTTTCATGTGGGTGTTAAAAAGCAGGAGAGAAATATGCGCTTGGGAAGGTGTTCTTTGCTTGATTTAGAATCTGACCCTGTTCTCAAGGCAATAAGCAAATATTGCTGAGAGGCACAGACCCAGAGGGGGAAAGAAACAACTGCGTGGGAAAAGTTTGCTTGGCCGCTCTGTCCTAATGTGATCACTTGTGCTGTAACTAGACACCCCTGAAAATGAGATACAGTTCTCTAAAGTGTGTGCTCTTATCTGCGAGATGAAGAGTAATTTTAGTCTGCTATCAGTAGCACATGACACAGAGGAAACTTTTCCAAGATTACATACATACATTACAGCTACTATGGGAGTTAGATGAGTTAAGATTGTGAGAATTAGTGAGTTCAAAAAAGAAACAAAGAAAGGTTAATGCCAGCCAGAAAACTGGAATGTTGCCGAATATCGCCTTTTGAAGGGGTGGGGGAAGGACCCCAAGTAGCTCTTTCTTGTCATCAAAGCCGAGCTGTGAAAGTGCTAACTCAGAGTTGGAGTTACTCTTTTGAGTTGCACGTGGGCTGTACTTCTGTGTGTGAATTTACAAAAATAACATCCTGAACATTACAACAGGCATAGCCTAAGTAGCGCTTATAAATAGTATGTTAATTTTCAAAAGTAACAAAATCTCAAATCTAGCAGGGAACCCATTTTTAACAGGATACCCAAAATATGATACTTTAAAACCTTTTATACAACTGTATTTTGTTTATATCTGTTTTCTTTTTTTCTTTTTTAATCTGTTGTCTCATAGTTTTTTCTTATCCATGATTTCTTTCCTGTGCCTATTTTGCCTGGCCTAATACAGTTGGCACTCCATATCCATGAGTTCCACATCTATGGATTTAACCAACCCTGGATGGAAAATATCTCCTCCCACCACAAAAAAAAGAATGGATGGTTGTGTGGGTACTGAACATGTACAGACTTTTTCCTGGTCATTATTTCCTAAACAATACAGCTTAACAACTATTTACATAGTATTTACAATGTATTAGGTAATCTAAGTAATCTAGAGATGATATAAATTATATGGGAAGATGTGCATAGGTTATATGCAAATATTGTGCCATTTTATGTGAGAGACTTGAGTATCTGTGGACTTTGGTGTGAGGGGGGAGGTTCTGGAACCAATCCCCCATGGATGGCTGAGGGACGGCTGTATTTTGCTTTTACTTTAAAAATGGAAGCACTTTCCAAAATTTGTTTTAAATATATGATTTCCGCTTTCACTGTTGAAGAGTATGGAAATTATGGTTAAGGCAGATGGAAAGTAGTATGTTCTTATGAGATGGGGGGAAGAAAAGGAAAACTGGAAACAGTTTAATGTCTTCCTGGCCAACTTGCACTCAGAGTGCAGAAATGGATTTTTTTTGTACAAATCAAAAGCACAGAAATAGCATTTCAAATTCTGTAAATTTTACTCATCCAGTCATTCACCATATACCTAGTGATCACCTACCATATATCGCGCCCTGCGAATATGGAAACTGGAGACACTCTCCCAGTCCAGCCTTAGGACTCTACCGCGTAGTAAAGGAGGCATGCAAATCAATCTTTCATGGTAGTGCAACAAATGCTTCTATTTGTAATTATTAATATAAATTCCTCTGAATTTCCAACTCCTCATTATTTTTACTAATAAGCCCTGGAATGCTCAATCATGGCTGACTCTAAACAATTCTATTTTAGGATTAAACACTGTGGAGGGGGTTTTCTGACAAAGGTAACACATTTATGCTGTTTGTGCGTCTGGAGCCATCGTCACAATGTATAAATTGACAAAACCCTGCCTGCCCCAATACTATAACCGTAGCTGGAAGGGAAGCATCTTAGACGGAAAATAATTTTGGCAAAAAGTCCACTCACACACTCAATGCAGGAATGATCAGCTGCACGTGCAGACAGACTTTTATTGCTACCCGGTAATCAGAAGTTAGCCATGGTGGAGCATCAGCGGGGCTCAAACAAATGCATGAGCCATCCTGGCACTGGCTTTTAAATGGGGGATGCTATACCTCGATATCTAAAGAGGATGTACAAACTTCATCCCCAGGTAGTGCCACCCAGTACTGGGGGGGGGTGTTCATTTCACCCAACAAGATGTAGATTGCAGAGGCCAGGGGCTGCACTGCTGGCTTCTGAAAGGTATGCACATTCAGCCCTGAGTGCCAATGACATTTACCCCGGTTTTCTCATCTTAGCCCCCGCCCCAGGAGATTTTATTGCCCACTTAACTGCATCACACCAGCTCTGCTGCTATCTCCTATGCCAGGAGAGGAGGCGAGCACCTCTCTGTAGGCACCAGACTCCCCCCTACCTTTTGTCACAGAGGCAGGAAGCTTTAAAATATTTATGGAGTTAAATTTTTAATTAAAAATAGGAATAATTCTATCTATAGGAAGTCGGTGGCCAGCCTTATAGGGGATTTAATATGCTACTGACTGTTTGGCTCCTGTGTTGTTCCTGAAGAGCATCACAGGACTTTTTAAGATAAACTCAATACCGTCGATTTAGATGCCAAATTTGGAGCCATTGAAAGAGGCAGAAAATGCCCCACAGTGCGTGGAGTAGGTGAGAAGCCCTGGTCAAGGGGCACCCTCCTATGCTTCCATGGAACTCTGTCACCTTTAAAGTAGGCCCATGCAGCCTGCTGCCAGGCTAAATGACACTTCACCAAATAAAGCCAGAGCACTGGCCAGCGCAGGAAAAAGACAATTCCCAGCGCTGGGTAGTTGTGAGGCTGCCTAAGGCTAAGGGCTAAGTGATGTTAAGTGTTATTGTTAAGCAATGTTAAATCTTCTGCCTCGCAAGAAAAATGACTTTATTTCTTTTCTCCTGAGGGTGCTGTTTTGGAAAGCAGAGTGTGGTTGTAATACAACCTCGTTAGCAAACACCAGGCCTGTACCTGGCCAATGTTTTACCAGCCTGTCCAGCCCCCATTTCCTTTCTTTCTTTCCTTTTTTCCTTTCTTTCTTTTCTTTCTTTCTTTCTTCCTTTCCATTAGTAAACACAATAAAATCAGTATTCCCTTATCTTCGCCTGACACAAATTATTACTCACCCTGGGTGAGTAGGGAAGTGGCTGTTTCCCAGGCTGCTATAATGTGTGAACGTCGGTGCTTGTATTTTTGCAAATGGCTCCTTATTCATTCCGGCCTGCTGGCCCCTCTCAATCCTCCCAGGCCCCATTCTGACTTTGCAGGCCCCACACGGGCAGTCCCTTCAGCAGCAAACTCTCCGCTCTACTGTCGCAAGCCTCCATCGTTCCCACCTGGCCCATCCCCGGCCCCGCGGGATCCCATTATCCCCCTCTCTGCAGACGGCTCAGTGCATCAGCACATTATGTTGCTCTCCCGGACTTGTAACCCAGTGCGGAGTCCTAAGGAGTGAGCAAAAAGGGACCGCGTCGCTTCTGCAGTCCTGCTCGCGTGGGCAGCGAGAGGTTGCGGGAGAAACTCATAAAACTGCATTCATGGGTCCCGCTGTAACACTCGCGTTGCACAGCGCCAGCTGGGCCCCTGCCGCCCTCCGGCATTCCTCTGAATTCCTTTGAGTCGTGTTGTCAGCTCCCCTGACTGTCCCACAGTGGCCATTCCAACTCTTTTCTACTCCTGTTAAGTTCTGCGAAGATGACTCAGCTCCCCAAGCCCAGTCTCTGGAGATGACCTCACTTCCTTTCCTTTACGACCTCGAGGCCTTCAACATTAGCCCTTCACCTTCTCCCCGCTGCTCAGACTCCTGTGCCTTCAGTCACACACACTTCCCCAGGGCACACGGGGAGGGCCTGAGCTCAGAGTCAGGCCAGGACCATAGCCCCAGCCCAGGCGCTCACCACCTGTGTGGCCTTGGGCAGTGCCCGATTGCCCCAGGCTCTGTTTTCTAATCTGCAAACTGGGGCCTATATTAGGGACTCCAGATAGTGCTGTTATGAGTATTAAATACAATAATATAAACAAAACTCTCAGCGAAGAGCCTGCCTGACATAGTGGAAGGATTTTTTTATTGTTAGCTCTTTTTTATTTATCTCTGGGGAAGAAGTGTGTCTTTCTCTAATGAGGCAAATCCACACACCAGAGCTTATTCTCACTGGCTTTTTGGGGACCTTGCACCACCAACTACCCCTCTCTAGGCTGCTTAAGGGCCCCTGGCAGTTGCTTTCCTCCCCCTGCCGACTGTTGTAAATGTACAGCTGCAGCGGCACACGTTTGGTGAGAGGCCTGCCCGCTGTGTGGAGAAGAAGAGAACCAGCACCTGCGTGAGGATGTGCTGGGAGCGCTGGCTGAAGCTGAGGGATCAGCCAACTCTGGGGAGGGACCAGTGGTCCGGATGTCAAGAGCAAGAGAATAAAGCAAACATATGTGATCTGAGCTATAAGCTGGGCTAACGGACAAGCTAGGAGACAGCGATTCTTGCAGAGGAATTCATATAACAGCTACAGGACGCTGACTCCGGTCTGGGCAAGACTTGGGTACAGAACTAGGATTGCCCCCGTCGTGGGGGCCATATCCAGAATGAGTTAACCCGGTAAGCTGAGAAGGTGCTCTAGCTCCCAGAGAAGACGTGGTGCAGGAGCAGCACCCTAACCACCGGT